CCCGGACACTCGACGGCGAACCGGTCCGTATGAACCAGAGCTTTCGGACTCTCTTGGGGGTTCCGAAGGATAAGGTGATGAACTGACATCTCCTCTCGCTGGGATTTCCTTCCGGATGACTAGATTGGTGTGTTTCACGAGCTGCTGGTTCTTCTGGGTCCGTGGCCGACGATGTCACGGCTGGCATAGGCACATCAGCAGGTCGTTGTTCGACCATTCTAGATTCATCACTTGGCGGACGGAGTCGACTGGCTTCGGACATTGGATCAGTTTCCGCAGGATGTTCCCTTGGGTCCACGTCTCCCTCTTGTGGTGGATACGACTGTGGGAGTAGGTCTAGGTACTGACGACTGTGCAGATTACCTTTATCTATCATGTCCTTAATCCCTAGCAGTTCAACATCAGGAGACGATATCAGGCACTTCTCTTCGTTTGTCGCGGGTCGGACTTGCTCAGGTGCACATCGAATCACCTGCCTACGATGAATCAACACGAGATTTCTGCCAACATGTCCTAATACGATGGCTACCCCATACCACTGTCCCCCTTGCTGCAACTGACCTTGAACCCACTTTTGGTTTCGCCATTAGGCCACCATGTCCCCTGGCTGAAAGGAAACTGGTTTCCGAGGTCGAGCCAGGAGTGCTACTCGCATTGCTCGGTCGTCCTGCATTTGGACCAGTGCCATCCGAGCAGAGGTTCTCATGGCTTGTGTCCGACTGATTGCCTCATCGGTCAATGATGCGGTCGCTGGCACAATGGACAACGGCTCACTGAGTAAATCCTGAGGAACATGTGGATTGCGGCCAAACACAAACTGGTAAGGGGTGTATCCATGGATCTGAATCATCTGGTTCTTGACATGGGCATGAGACACACATTCTAGCCACTCTTCTCTATTTCGGGGGGAGTAGTCGTCGATCAACTTTTCCAACACACGGTTGAACCAGCCACCATGAGATTCGCATTTCCCTAACTGCCAATGAGCACCGGCTGCGATAGGTCGCACATGTGTCCCTTCCAGTTCAGCGGGAACAGTCATGGGGTCACCCAGATTTGTCCTGGCAGGGTCCATGATGATCTCCTTTGGGATTCCGGCCCAGGCAATCCAGTGTTCATTGAGCTGTTCACGCAACAAACTGGCTGTTTCCGTTTGGAAGAACGGAATCATGCGCTGAAAGCTGCTGGCTGTATCTACAATGTTCAGAGCTTTGATCTTTTGGTTTGGCTGCCAACCCCGAAGATGTTTCACATCGATGGCTATTTGGTGATTAAACTCAGTTACCCTATTCGGCTGTGCAGGAAGAGGACTCTTTGGCTTGGCTTGGCTTTTACAAAAATCACAGGAGAGTTCACGGGCTAACTTGAGAGCTTGTTCACTGGCATTTCCGTGACGCAAAATCCGGACCAAGTCACAATTTGGTGGGTGGCCCAGGTTCCTGTGCAGTTTGACCAAAACCGGAATGAGCTCTGCATCGGTTCGTTGACTCAGGGCATTGACAGCCAAGACCTCTGACCAGCTCTCTTCAGGAATCGCATCTTCGAGAATGCACACCGCAGGTTCCGCCGATGGTTGCATGGGACTCGAGTCATGACTGCTCATGCGAAAGACCTCTACGGTTTGGAGCACTGCTTGCACACTGCTGTGGGTATCGTCCAGCGTATTCACTGACACTTGAAACCCCTGGGGCACTGCCTGCCACTATGTCATGTGAAGCATGATCACCGGTTCCAGGGCATAACAAACCTAAGGTCGACATGTCTTCATGAGTCACTAGCAACCGGGTGCTCTTGCGGATGAATTTATGACTCTCAGGCAAACGAAGCCCATACCTGCACATGTGCAATTTGACAGTTGTGAACCGACGACACAAGGCTTGAACTTCAGGATATGTCCACAACCTAGACCCCGTCGGATGTTCAAACATTGCTCGACCTCCGAGAGACACTTGTAGCTTGAAAAGCTTACAACACCATCTGATATAACTACGACTCTGTGTCATTCGTTGGAGGTACTCCAGACGGGTCCATTTCGTGCTATTCAAGTGCATCCACCCGCCTTCGTCGGTGCACGGCGGGCACAACACCAGAAGACGTGGCTTCTCCGTCATGAGCTCTTGCTCAACGGCGCTCCTGTGACGACTGAGGCGGAAATCAAAACCATTTATTAGGTCGTATGACTTGGCACGAAAACCTGCTGCTTCGGCGGCGGTCGTGAACCGAGGGGGTGAAAACACCTCCATGACTAAACATCGTTTGACTTTCCTACCCTCTTGAACTGCGAGGCATGCCTGAGCCTGCCGATGCAACTGTCGACATTGGTGATGAGACGGTTGCCACTCTTCCATCATTGCACCTTCAATTGGTTGTCCGACAAAGAAAAACTCAGTTTTCACATGCGGCATACGTTCAAAGAACTTTACCATCGTCTTGTGTTGAGGGGTCCCTGGATCTATCCGGGTATCATCGATGACTTTCGAGGTCTGGATGTTGGTTACCCGCCTACGAAACACATGCTTCCATGCTGGCCCTTGGCGAGACAACCATGGGGTGGTGACGACATCACAGTCCTCCTGCTCCCAAATCGCCGTGTCAGGTGCTGACGGCGAGGTCAACTCGGGGGCATTTGCCGCAGGCATTTCCGGCTCAAGCTGCGGCTCATCAACATGCTCATGAGATGCCGTGGGACCTGGAGAGGCCTCCACAGATGCCATCACTTCTGTAAAAGCGGCTGCGGGCGAACACAAGGAATCTTCCCCAGTCAATTGCACTACATACTGTCCAGCACTGTTGGTTTGGAGGGGAATTGTCTTTCCAAACACCTGGAGGCTGTCATGTGCGAAGTCCAGAGTCGCACCCAATGTTTTGAGTGCTGTGCGGCTCAACAACAATGGAGCATCACCCTTGATCACTGCAGCACGAATCACACCTCGGCGATGAGCTAAGACGACAGGCATCTGAATGGAGACCAAGGATGTCTCCACTTCACCATTTCCGAACTTGAATTGATGTACTTCATCGATGGGCTTTGGAATTGCCCATCCCTTCTGCTTCCAAATCTTCTCAAAAGCACGGAGGGTGGTCTGCCCAACAATGGTTCGACCACAGCCGGAATCCAGGACACCATAGCCTGGGGACGACACAAGCAGAATCTCCTCTGTGGTGGCTGGAGCATTGAGCTGACTCTTCTCATTCACATGCTTGCGAACTTGCTCCAGCAACGTAGGTGTAGCCATCACTGCGGCCACAAAATCCAGTTCTTGCACCACCGCTGCACCGGATGCAGCGCTAGATCCAGAAGTCTTTGACTTGCCAGCTCCTTTGGTCGTCTCTTTTGAACGGCATTCTCGTGCCCAATGGCCTTTGCGGCCGCAACGATTGCAAGTGGAGTTCCTCTTCATCTCCTCAATCTCCACCCGAAAGCTTCGTTTGACATCTCGTGCCTTCTGAAACTGACGTGTTTTCTGAAGGCGGTTCAACTCGTGCCTCTTTTCTTTCCAGGTGGCGGCCAAAACCTCAGCGACTTCGGACTCCTGAAAGGTCTCGGTGTCGGGTCCCGCCTCGACACCAGCATGGTGGTCTTCCAACAACTGCTCAACGTCGGAAAAACCATCATCCCATGTTTCAGCAGTGTCATCGCCCCCATCCTGTTCCTCGGCCAGAGCCACTCCTGCACGCTTACGAGTCATGACCAGCTCCGGGTAGCAGGATCGAAGTGCGGAGGCGATGGATTCCCGCTTCAAGTCACCTCGAGCCCTGGCGATCACCACCGCCTTTTGCTCTTCCGTCAAAGCAGCTCGATGGAGTAGCAGCCATCCCCTGGCCTCATCCGGGAATGAGACTCCAGTCTTGCGGTGACATTTGTCCATCAGCTCGGATGCCCTGGCGGTCCATTGTCTCATGGACTCGCCCTCATGTGAGCGAAGTCCAAAGATCTCGTTCAGGATCTCCCCCAACTCATCCACTGTCTCCTGCTGAGGGAATCGCTTGTCTAAAATGGCCCATAGGGCATCATCGCCGCCCTTCTTCTGGTAGCCTTCGGGATCTAGGTGTTCCACGGCCTCCAAGGCCTTGCCAGAGAGAAGGGTGTATATGTAGGCCCCTCTGGAGCCCTCCGCCAACTTGTCAAGCGTCAGCAGTTTGTTCTTCACCCATTGCTTCCAGCGTTTGTACTCACGGCCATCCTCAGAATCCCCCGAGAAGAAACGGAGCCCACCTTCAGTCGAGGTGGAAGACGTCATCGCTGCCATGCGTAGGACCTTCGCCTGAAGGTCAGGTTCAACGAGCCATGGCGGGAGCCTGCTCTTTGAGCAGGCTCCGCTACCAATTGCGGAGCAACTACCCTTCGCCTGAAGGGATCGATCGGGCTTTTTCACCTCGCGCCGAAAAGTCCCTGGTGGAACGACGAACTCATGCCTGCCATGCGTGCAATCACAATATATATATATATAATTGGATGTTGCATGGGCTTGAAAGAGAGGGGAAACAGGCACCGCAGCCGCAGCGGGCGCGGGCCCTCGGACAACCCATGACATCCATGTTGATGAAGACATGTACATGACATCGCACAGATTTGGCGAACCTGGTGGCGAGCATTCCTACGAATCTCGTCATGTTTCGACGGTTCAGTTCCAACAGGGTCCACTGCCCCACCAAGGCCATGGGGAGAGGGCCGATACAGAACTTGGGAGGCGAACCTGCAGTCAAATCCCCTGTCGACAGACAATTATGGCAATTTGAACTTCCTGCCCTGTGGCATTTACCCCAGAACTTCCAAAAGTTGGCAGACTGATGCAGACGGTATTCTTTCGGGTGTGGAGCTAGGCTTCTGGATGCCAAGAACTAGACACCAAGATCAACCAACCAGCACTTTCCGAACTCGGGGTCACCTGGCTGGGCCCCAGCCCACTACTAAGGGACCTCCAGCAAGGACACCCCTGTGTTCAGGTCCAGGAAGGCTTTCGCCAAGTGCAGAGAGAACTGCTTTTGCCATGGTAAGGATGTGGGACCTGATTTGGCACAATACGCGGATGACCAGCGGTTATCAGTTCCTTGGGCGGCTCCGTATCGTCGCGTATCGCGCATATCGTGGGCTTTGACTGGAGAAAGCTCCTGGTCAGCTGCAGTTGACACATGGACAGACCAGTTGTCCTAGTCACCAGACCAGTCTTTGAAGACCTACTCAACTGCCTGGAAGACCTACTTGGTCAACCATTGCAGTTTGACTAGGGGGACCTAAATCATAAACCTTCAAACCCTAGTTCCTTCTCCCTACAGGTCAGTTCCTGACCCAGCAAAACCATGGTTTTTCACCTGGTCCTGGTCACAGCTTTGGTGCTTGGAACGGGCCGCCTGGCTCAGACCGCCAGAGGCCGCCAGAGGTCTGGCGGTCACGCGTTCGGCCTCCCGAGCGGGTCACTCGGTCGAAAACGGGCTCTGTACATAGACCAGGACGTCGAGGTGTCTATAAACAGCTGTGGAGTTCCAAGGACCTTCTGCTCTCTATAACAGAAATATCTATAAACAACCTCTAAGAGTGACCTCTAGAGGTCAAGGGGTGCCCAACAACCACCGGGCTTGGAAGGTCCTGGGATGGGCCTCAGCTTTCGATGGGCAATTCCAAAGGGGTGTAACTATTTAGGGGACATACAGCCTCATACGGCCCTAGACTGGGGTCGGCGGAGGGAAGATTTCTTGAGGTTTGTGTTCCATATTGTTCATTGATGTGTTATGAGGTATATATTAAGTCATTATATATTGTTTGCAGAATGCTGTGGTCCTCCAAGTGTGTTCGACGGCGAGATGAAATGATATGGATGTGTTTGATGTTGCGTTCAGTCGAAACTCGCATCCGGAACTCTGCATAGTTTCATATCCCTGTTTTGTTGCACACTGGCCCAGGAATCCAATACGATCATTTTTGGGGTCAGTCTGGGTGCAAGCACTCCACCAGCATGTCACATCCCCGCCAGTTGAGGTTCTTCTCCATGAAGCAGCCTTTCTTCCCCATCGGCAAGAATGTGGCTCGGCATTTGACAGATGTATGTGAGACAAGCCATGGGCTGGTGCCCATCCCAGCTGGGCTGTGTTATGGGGGCATGCACCATCCCAAGCATGGAAACAAAGCAAGATAAAGCAAGTATGGTGTGCGATAGCAGTTTCTAGATTCTATGTCAGTTGTTGAGCAGGTACGTCCTGTGTTTTTTCTCAGTGGTCCAAGAACACCCATCACCCATCAGAACATCACCACAAACCATGTCGAACAGTCGGTCACTAGGCATTTTTGACGATCTTCATGTGATCGTTGGCCTCGCTTACACCCTGCGGATCCCTGCAGTGAGGGGGAGGGCGTGACGGAGTTGCGCAGAGATTGTCCTCGCAGAGATCGAACTTTCCACAGTTTTTTGGCTACGACGCTTCTGGTTTTTCCGCTTTGCTGACCATGACCTGCAATTATATATAATATATAATTGAAACGTTTGATTTTAGGATCTCAGCTTCACACGAAGTGTTGCTTCACAGAAGCCCAGCACAGAACCATCAACGGACCCCTGCCTTTTTCCTTGGCAAAAGGCGCGGCGCACCGGCTGGGTCGCTGTTGCTTTTTGTGGTCCGAAGCAGCAAGTCTCCTCACCGCTTCGCTGATGCTCTCGCTCTTCAGCCCGAGCGTCTCCTTTACCGACGTGCTCTCGCGCTTGCGCGAGCGTCTCTATAGGTGGTGAAGGTCTTGGACGCCTTGGGCGACCACGGCTGGGTGCCCACGGCCTCGCCCAACTACGGCGGGCCGCTCGACGACAAGGCCGTGCGCTGGGTCGGTGGTGTGTCGGGAAGCGAAGTCGGGAAAACGCGTTGGGCGCTTGGGATTCTTGATGTAGATGTTTGATTATGCACCACCATCCCATTATGGTTGGATACAGTTGATGTAGATATCATCTAAAGTCTAGGATTCCAACTGCATCCAACCACCATGCATGCTAATGCCGATGGAATCCATTGCTTTTTTACTCAGGGATTTTATAGAGTTACGAGACCAGGTGAGACATTTTGTGAGTGGAACGGAAGGAGATGTCTTCAGGAGACTCGATGTGGCTCCATGATACTGGAAGATCTAGCTATCAACCATCAACATCATCAACCCCTGAAATCTATCAACCACCCCCGTGGAGTGTTTGGGAAGCACTGGACGTTATGTGAAGTCAGTCTGGAATAGGATGGAATGGGTTTACATGTGTGAATTTCAGCTGTTGTAGCCAGGGTGTATTGCGTACAGTTGATGCACCGTCGCTGCTGTTTCGGCTGAACAGGGCCCTTGAGCTGATTCGCTGCTGCGAAAAGGAACTGTGCGAGATTCAAACTGGTAGCGGAGCAGGTTCTGAAGGGGCACCCTCAGGATCTGACTCACCCGGGGAGACTCGCTGGATCCGAAACCGTTGAACCCAATTGCGTGACCCTGCGCGCAATCCGTCGAACCGTTGTAATTCCAGTGCTTTGCGAAACTTGTTGAGTTGCGATGTCGCTGGCTGGCCTGCGGTACACGTCCCATGGAGGAAGTATCTCAGGACCACAGGAGACGAAGAGCGGATCATACATCTACAGTGGCAATCCAAATGGTTTCTTCGAATGGGAATTTCGCACCAAGGTCCGCGTTGCTTTGCACAAGCAGAAACATGCGAAGAAGAAGTCAGAGAAGACCTATTCGAGTCCTGGAAGCCAATCAGCCACACCAGAACGTTCTCAGAGGAGGCCGACTCATGCGACCGAAGCTGGGGATGTATCAGAGGATGACGAGGCACGATTTGAAGCTTTTGGAACCCCGAAGTCCGAGAGCGTGGTAGGAGAGGAAGAACCAGCTCTGAGCACTGCCGGACTGGATGATGATGGAGCAGAGTATGCAACACTTGTTCACAAGGTGTTGGAAGGTCTGCGAGGTGATGCATACCTTACAGCTCAAGACATGGGATTGGAGAAGTTGTTGACTTCAACTGGCATTGATGAGTTGATATCGCGTATCCGTGCACAAGTTTTTCCACTTCGACAACAAGAAGCACGTGAGTTGTTCAGAGTGGGTCAACTTCCACATGGTCCCTTGTCTCGCCAAACGACAGAAAGCATGACTAGCTACATTTCACGAAGACGTCGTTGGTGGAGGAAGCTTTTGGAGATGGATGATGGGGTAAGTCTTTCAGACCCCATGCGTGGTGAGCTACTTCTGGAAGGTTCTGGCTTGAGCAAGACAGAACAGCTCATGATCAAAACAGCTGCAGGCGACAACCAATCCTTTGACGTCTACGCCAAGTTCTTGCTTGAATTCCATGGACAGATTCACTTGCGCAGCTGGTCCGCTTTTGGTAACACGAGCCCTCGGAGGCAGAAAGGCGGAGGCAAGTTTTCAGGCAAGTCTTCCTACAAAGGAGGAAAAGGGCGCAGTTGGCAAAGATCTGCGTACATTGTTGAAGATGATTCTTGGGATTATGAAGAGTCCTATGAGGCAGAAGCAGAGGACGACTATGAGCATGAAGCTTATGTTGTAGCAGAAGATGAAGAACCAGATGATGAAGAACATGAAGACTATATCGAAGACCCTGAAGTTGCCACAGCGTTGATGGCAATGGGAGAGTGTGATGATGAAGAAAACGATGTTTCAGAGGAACTGGGCAGCGCAGCCCAGCATCAAATGATGGCCTTTGTCGTGACTGACCAGTTGAAAGGCAAGAGCAAAGGCAAAGGAAAAGGTTCAGGAAAGAAAGGTGGAAAGAGCAAGGGGAAAGGCAAGTATGTGTTCAGGACACAGTTGAGCGTGCAAGACAGGATTGCACGTCTAGCAAAGTTGAAGTCAGTGTCCAAATGCTTGCGTTGTGGAGGAAAAGGACATTGGGCAGGAGACCCAGCCTGCAAGTTCCCCAAGCAGAACGACAAGTCCCCTGGAGGAACGTCGTCGACGAGTAAAGCCACAGCCTATTTTGCATTGAGTGATGATGAGTCTTCTGTTGAAGGTGAATACATGTGTGTTGATGTCAGTGGTCAAACTGTCGAAAGTGGTACGTGCTACATGGCATACAAGATGTCCCCAAAGAAGAAGCTTGAGTTCGAACCGTCAGACCGTGCATCCATGTCGTCAGGAGTGACCAGCAGCCCACCGTCTAGCTTTTCGATGGTCGAGCCAAATGTCCGTCGGTCACCGCAGAAGTCCCCTCCGGTCACGCGTAGGAAGAAGGACATGGAGCAAGACTTGTTGCCTGAAGGTTCGCAGAATGTCTTCGTGTTTGGTCAGCACCAAGGTTTGACATACCATGAAGTGTTGTTCAAATATCCTGGATACTATCAATGGGGATCAGGCGTTTCGCACCCTTCGCGTTGCTTGGCAGATTTTCTGACCTGGGTAACCACGTACTATGAAGTCAGTCAGGACGGAGACGTAAGCCTGAGAGAGCATCCATTGACAGATGTGCCAGTAGAAGCAATTCGACGTACTGGAGACAAGAGTGCCAAGGGAAAACCACCAAATCCCCCGCTAGAGGAATCATGCCGTCGTTGCACCAGATTCACATTTCAAGGTTCAAATGCTTATGTTGAGAACAAGACGTGCCTTGACTGCGGAAAGAATGAAAGAAAGAAGAAAGAAAGCAAACCTTCGGCCGATCCCGCAAAGTGCAAGCATGAGGTTACAGATCGTCGAGGCAGTTCGAAAACCACGTCTCGTTGGTACTGCAAGTTGTGTGGAACCACTGTTGACGAGATGCCCCGAGAAGAGGCGCATAAGAGAGAGGCAATGGCAAAGAGTATGGTAGGCATGCGCACCAATGCATTCGACACGACAGCATCCATGATTGAGAATGAAATCAACGATGCATGTATGTCAGCTGAAGGAACTCTAGAGGTTTTGGAGATGTTTCGACAAGAGGTTGAGTGCGAGTTAGAATTTGGCGAACCTGTGAGGGTTGGCGTCCTGTTCGAGATCCTTGCCAATGCCGTGGAGGTCATCAGAGAGGCCGCACCGGAAACTTGCTACATGGGACTGTTGTCGGATCTCAATGAAGCCACAATTGAAAACACACTTCGTCTTGTTGACATCATGGAAGACCCTGGAGTCTGGGCTGTGTTGGATGAAGGATGTAATGCAACTGTGTGTGGACAAGCATGGATCCGAAACGCCAAAGACAAGTATGCACGTCTTGGGTATGATGTAGCTGATTTGCAGTGTGACTCAAAAGCTTTCCGAGGACTCGCCGGAGACACCAAGACTTTGGGCAAGTGTCGAATTCCATTTGCTTTGACCTTTTTGGACCCCGAGACAAAACTTCCGGGAGTCATGGAAACGCATGTTGTCGATGGGAAGATTCCATTACTTTTGTCACAGCATGCTCAAGCTGCATTGCATTTCACGAAATCTATGGGTGATGCCAAGTGCTATGTAGGAAATGCAGAACTTGAACTGTGCAGAGCTAGGAACTCAGGACTTCTATGTGTGAACCTCTCAGAAGGTCTCAAGAGCCTAAAGTCCAAGAGACTCCCAAAGCAACTTCGAGAACTAAAGAACACGGATTATGGCATGAGCTTCAACATCCGTCCATCAGACCAACTGATTGCATTCATGGCTGACGAAGAGCGCCCGACTAGAGGCACTTTCACGCTGGATGACCCTGCTTGTGTGCATGTCCTGACGTGTGGAAAGGAGTTCAATGGCCAGATTGCAAGCTTTGATCGCAGCAAGAGCTTGATTACATTGGGACCCATCTTGGCACAATTTGACCCCGGGAGGCGACTGTTGATCTTTGACTGCATGGGATTTGGAGATCCTCAACACGACCCGCAGTTGCGATCTCACGTCGGTACACATCCGGAAATCATTCGAGGGATGACTGGCAGCGAGAAGACGATGGAAGCATTGCTATATGGACTTCATCACCTGAAGGCTTGCCATGAAAAGGGACAACAGCTGGCTGTCATAGCTTACTGCAGGCGGAACAGACACAGATCTGTATCCTTTGGTTGGTTGTTGGCAACGGCATTCAGCAAGCTATGCCCGAGAGCTCACTTGACCTTGACGCATTCCAACCAGGATCATTCCTGGAGCCAGATGAGCGGCACATGCAAGGGCAAATGTGCGATGTGCACGCATGAGTCGCATGATGCTTTGGAAGCAGCCTTGGGGTCAAGGGACGATGTCTTGAGGCAGTTCGGGTTGAAGGCGACTCCAACATACAGTCATGTTGGCTTGGTGGTATTCGATTCGGAAGTTGAAGCCCGAGAGAGCGATCGAAGATCCCAGGCACCAGTCGGTTCCAGAGTACTACCGCCGCCGCCATGTCCGAAACGACCACCAGTCCTCCGACCAGCGGTGGTAAAGGCGGCGAGTGTGGCGAAGGCGCCAGTCCCCGTGCCAAAAGGGACACACACCATGTCCCATAGAGGACCAGGATCCGTGAGGGCAACATCACCAGACCCACAACTCGCTGCAGCAACACCCAAGGCACCAGCACCTGAAGCACCAGCAGCCGAGGCATCAGCACCCGAAGAAGAGAGTCGATACAATGAAAATGCTGAACTTCGCCGTCGAGACAAGGCCGAGACCTCAAGACAGGCAGAACCGAGGGGTGAATCAGTTGCTACAAGTCAGCCTGATGCCGCGACACAGGCCTTGCTACAGACTGTTGAGTTGTTGACACAGCAGGTGAAGCAAATGCAGGAGCGAGAGTACGAGAGGAGACGATCACGTTCAAGAGACAGACGTCGACGAGAGCGATCAGACAGCCGGGACTATCATCGTGGAAGAAGACGTGGCAATAGCAGAGAATACCG